ATGTAATTTAATTATGACTGGAACTTACTAATTAATCAATTCATGCAACATGGAATTACCTCATTAGTCCAGCTGGCTTTGGTTTTTTTGGTGGGAGCCATGAAGATTAATTTGGAGTCCTGTCACCAAATGCCAATTGGGATCCACCATATTCTTCTATCCTCCCCCACTAAAAAGGTCACCCATTAAACAAAATGCAGGTCCTCAGGTTCGGTGATCAACAACTGATAAACCTAATTTATTCACAATTAGCCCACCTCGCAGCCCTATGGGTGATATGTGACAAAAAAGCTTAACTTTAATTAAAACATAAGTGTGACGGGAAATAGGACAAACCGTGGAGCGCAATGACATTGCTATCAAACAAACCGTGGATCTTTATCGAAGATCATATATATTTTTGACTTTTCCACAGCAGCCATATATCGATGGTGCTGTTTACACCAAAGTAGGTACAAATGCCATGCTCATAGAATATGCTTTTATAGTCCCTAAGGATGGTTTAAGGTTGCTCAAATTTTTTCAGAAGCAGCCTCTTAAAAAAGTTGAAACTAAAATTGTGTTTAGTAAAAGAAAAAAAAAAGTGTTTGTTTTCAAAACCATGGGTCTAAAACAGCATAATAAAACAGAAGCAATCCTAATCATTATTCTAATTAACAAAATTATATTTTTTCAAGAAGACATGTTACTTTAACTTTTAATGAAACTTTTATATTGACAATATTATCCATTTTTTTTTTTTTCTAAAAGCATTTTAGCATTATAATTCATCAAACACCTATTTATTATTTTTCGCAGATATTTATTTTCACAGCATAGCAAAAATAATTTTAAAAAAGTACATCAGTCCGAAATTAGCCCTAAGTCACATGAGCAGTAGGGTTTTTCAGGGTTCCTTGAGTATAATTTGATGGCGGTATATCGGACCCGCGATGGTGACATGGCGCCTTCTCATTGGATATAAAAAGGTGGAACGTTTTGTTTTGTTTTGAATAGCAATAGGATGGTGGTGGTGCCTATATGTAAATTTGGATATTGTAGGCAATTTCCTCTCCTCATTATTTATCCCTCCCAATTCCCTTCATGATCAAGATTAAGCAGTAAAGTGTGGGGAGTTTGGGTTGTTGATGACTAACAAGTTGCCATCATTCACTTATTATATAACAAGCATATGTTGAAATATTGGATGTGGTAATTGACAATCATGCATCGACTGTTGAATTGTTGAGAAACTTGAGATTGTATGTAGACCATATATCAATAAGAGGATCACATGTGTATAACTCAAATAATTACAATAACCAATGTCTAGTGATTTTTATTTTTTCCCAAGTACATATCAAGATTAAAGGTTTAACATTAGCTGAACTCGATTGCTCATTTTAGAATGAAAATAAGCGTTCCATCTCTTAGGCTGTAAGTGATTATATCAATATATGGCTATTTAATTTGTTTATCTTAGATTGTATATGAGGGAAAAGGATCCTCACTGGATCCTCTTTGTATGATCCTTTTCTGTATATGAGAGAATGGAATTGCATGGGCCCAACCCTTTTATTTTTCAGTGATGAAAACTTGTCCACGTACTTTTTTTTGTTAGAAAAAGTTTAGAGGGGAGGAGAGGCTACCTCATTTCAGGGTCATGACATATCATAAGCTTCATTGAGGACTTACAAAGAGGGTCTTAAGCATTTTTTTGGTTTTTATACATCGCCCACTAAGATAGATTGCTGACAACAGGACTTGAACCCAAACCTTGGTCTAGCGAAGAGAAAGATCCTTACAAACTCAACCAACCATCGTTGGCATCCACATACTTCTTTTCTATAAACAAAAGGGTTTTAAAGTGAGGAGTCCAAAGTATAAACCCTAAAGCCAAAATTTCTCTCTCATACTGCTAAAGTAAGAGGTTTGGGGGTGTAGGGAACAGAATTTTGCTCTTTAACTACTCCTTTTCTTGCGGAATTTTCAACTCTTCGAGCCCAATGACAAAGATAGAGGACCCTAATATCCTTTAAACGTCATTTTACGTTGTAAAAAACATGTTCGTGGGGTTTCTGCAAAAGACCATAGGTCCCTTAGACCTGAAGGGTTCAAAAGCTTAGAATGATGCTGAATATTTCAATATCAGGGTTTAAACTTTACGCTCAATGCAAGACACCACCACTCTCAAGTCCTTGAAATACTCATTGTCCCCATCCCCATGTAAAAATAAAATAAAATCAATCTAAAAGAAAAGATGTTCAAAACAAAAAAACTGGGAAATTGGTTAAAATTGGTAAAATGATTATTTTTTCAATATGTTGTCAATATTTAATCGTTATATTGTCAAATTTTTATCCTTTAGTAATTTATACGTTATCAGTATTTAATTTTAATTAGTTATGCAATTAATTCGATTTTGATCATTTTAGTCGATTTTTTAAGAAAATTTGATCATATGCCCCATCAACACTAGTAAAATTCATGTTGTGCCGAATGACACGTAAATGTATATAAAGGGTAGTACCATCCATACACTTCTTTTTACATTTCAGACACTCATCTCAATTTTTGCCCATCAGATCAAATAAATTGAAGAAGATCAAAAAACATAAATTAACAAAATGTGTGGGAGAGGTAAAAGTGGAATCGCGTATGTCATCCCCTCATATAAAAAGAGATAGTATGTGTATGGGGAGGCCTTGTGCATATGTTTGCCTTTATTTTTACAACTTGATCAAATCAAAACTGGAGAGTCTTTGGATGCCAGAAAAAGAAGTTGAAAGGGGTAGGAGATGGAAATGCACGAGGGCCGGTTGGCTATTCTCGAGGGAGCGTGTACGTTTCTGATATTTTCTTCTTTCTTTTGCTTTTTTGATAGTGCCTGGAGCTGGACCTCCATTCCCAAGAGTGGAGACAAAAGGGTTGTCTGTTTAATCATCAATATAACATTCAACAGCCACCACAATCTCTCTTTGTTTAGATCATATCATGCATATATGTCCATCTTAATTAATTATATATGTGCACATAACATAAAACATGTTTCTTTTCTTGTCATAATTTCATCAAAAGCAAAGAAAGTGCAACAAAATGTCTTTTGCCATAGTAAAAAGGAGCATGTGGTTGAGTCGTTATTATAGTAAAACCCTAATAAACGATGCATGTTAATAGCTTGAAATCTAACGTGTTATACCGTATGAGAAAAGAAAGTTATTATATATGTGAGGCTACACAAATCACTAGACAAGTAGATTGCAAAAAGAATACTTAACCAAGTATGAATGATAGATAAATATGACTTGAGTTTTACTAATATGTCGTATGACTTAACTCAAAAAGACATTTGTAGCCGAAAGTTCCTACTCAGACTGCATTACAAAAATGATCAGGACAAAGAAAGGATTAGAGAATTCCCTAATTATGTTTAGGTATAGAAGACCAACTGTGAAAGGTTGGCCTGGTTGTTGAAAATTTGGAGGGTTGAAGGCATAGACCCCTATATCTTGGGTGCAAACCCATATAATTAGTCTAAAAAATGAAATATACGCCTAATTAAAACGAGAATACAATTATTTCCTTTAATAATTTGGTATTACTATTAAGAGAAATTGAATAATGGTATTGATTAGTTTCTTTGTCTCATGAACATGCTCTAGTTCTTAAGTGGCATAGCACTTCTCCCCTCTGTCTTTGCATCTGGGATACGTTACAAAAAGAAAAAAGAGTAAGGGTGGATGCATATAAACAATTATTTCTAGTGCATTCCAGTTCAACTACCCAAAAAGGAAAGAGAATCAAAACAAAAAGAAAATCTTCAAAATGAAACCAAGACAGGAGACTTTGTATCTCAATCGAATAAGAACTCAATTATTCATTCGAAATTTCGTATTTGATACTCTCTTATCGTAGAATACCGATTCTCTAAAACAATGATAAAATATAAAGAAAAATAGAGAACATAACGGAGAGTTTGGAATTTGATGTGAACTTATCCATAGACTAACAATCGCTTTAATTGAGGTGGATGATTTTGTTTAGCACAAAGATTCCACCAAAATGTTTAATTTATTAATGCAAAGTTGCAAAGAAAGTTCACATTGCTTGAGGATTAACGTGTTAAATTAGTTGACCAAAAAAAAAAAAAGAACGTGTTTAATTAGTAGACACACTTTTCACCAGACTTTAGAAATTATTCCAAAACTCTTCTCTCTATTTGTTTTGTGGGTAATGTTAGGGAGACTAAATTTGCAAACTAAATGATGTATCGCCAATAAGAATGAGCATGTTTATCAACGCTTAAGTTAAACCAATCATCAACTTCCATGTCCTTTACTTTTCAAAATTTTGTCAACAAATTTAGTTTCTGTATCATTCCCTTGTTTTGTAGTTGCCTTTTCCACCTGGTTCTTCAAAAAGTGGATGTCGTGGCGAAGCTATCAGTATGTCCCCATTTTAAGGAAAAAAAAAATTTGGCTGGCTCCTCCCAATGTGTTAGTAAACTAGTAATTTATAATCTCGCATGGCTCCTAAGTAACAAGCAAAGTACAATAACATGTGGTATCCAAAATTTTATCATAACGTTGAAAAAAAACTTTCATTTTGTTCTAACCTTTAGGAGTTTCCATTTGCATCTAAAAATTTTCTCATTTTACAACTTATTTTACACACACAACAATAACACATTCTCGCCTAGAAGTTTTCCTTTTGTGTTACGATCATATAGAACAACTTGTGTTCGCACGGAAACTACGTTATATGCAGAGTAACTCTTAAAAAAGCATGCAATATCTTATACGTCAATCACAAGTTATGTCAAAACTACTTTAATGAGACAGTTATATAAATTTTTCACAGTAGTTCAGAAAGCCATAGAGGCCCATAAGATCTGAAACCCAAGCGTTAGCCAGCGATCCTAAAATACTGGCCCATTAAAATTCTACGACAAATCCAATCGGCCCAATTCAAATAATATTGACGTCGTTAGAATCATATACGGCATTCCGTATGTCGTCGTGTACTCCTTACCAATGGCGCTCCACACGCCCAGGGTGGTTGTTTGCCCTCTCTCGTTTGGAGCCCAGCACTCGCTCCTCCCTCCAAAACCCCATAATCGGCCGTTATTCATATTCTTCGTCCGCCATTAAAACCCATATTCCGAAACGCCCGCCGAATAGCCGCCAAGAGCCACGGCGGCGACGCCCCACAAGTATACTTTATCCTAACCCAATTACCCAATTCGCAGAACTTGCAAGTATGTTTGAAAATTCATGCCTTTTTTTTCTTCTTTCTGGAACATGAAATGCATGTTTGATTGTGTAATTAGGTTGAATTGTATGTTGCAGGAGACCCAGAAGTTCATGGCTGAGCATTCCAGGAGGCTGTTGAAGGAGAAGGAGACTTTTGGGCCTGATCTCCACGGTGGTGATAGGCAGTCTGTGCGGAGGTATGTTAATCTTCCTGTAACCAAATTTAGATTCATATTTCCAATGGGTTTTTCATTTTCCTTTTCCCCTTTTCTCTGAGGAACAATTAGTTGATAAAAATGATAACTTTAGTAGTGTAATGTGAGGGAAGTTAATTGAAAAGATTAAGGAAATAGTACAAAGAGGATACTCTGCGAGTCTGCGGCTACCATTACCCCTAGGGAGTAGGAACTATTACACAAGGAAAATTACCGAATCAAATGCAAAATTGACTATGGTTGTCTCCTAACGTATCAAAACCATATGCTGCCTTGTTAGCTTCTTGGAAAAATATGATTTAGCCTATGGTTATGAATTTGAGGGAAACTAATAAAATGCCATTGTTTTCCCTCACGCTTGTAACTCAAGTGGATAAAAGTATTCACCCCGCAAATGCCCGAGTTCGAAATTTTGGACCCAATTTTGCTTGTAAAAAATGATTGACTAACGCTGAACATGTAACTGTGTGTATGAGCGGTAACTGGATCATCTAGTCCTAGAAATAGGACTTGGTTGCCAACTTGTGGTGCACCCAAAACTCTCTAGGGCAAAATTAATGGGCTGACATTTATTGTTCTCGACTTTCTGGTGGTGACTTAGAGTTGATTACCGATGTGACATGTGTTCTTAGCATTCATGGCATCTCTAATCCGTGATCTGAGTGTTGGATTTGATTTCTGACTCACTTATAGGCGTAGTCACCTATTTTTTCCATGACTGGAAAACTTCAGCAGATCCCTTGGTTTCTAGTTGGATAATTACTGCACTTTACTATTGTGATTTGTTGAAGTTCGGAAAAACTGTAATCTGAAACCGACCCTTGATTCGATGTGGAGTGCATTTTTGGTCACCAGTTCACCAACGCATTGATAGTCGTTTGTGTGATTTAATGGCAATTAATGTCGTGGTGATGCTCACCACCACTTAAAGCGGCGAGCAAAATATTTCATTAGTGTATGGCAACAATGTATGACACGATATAAGATGAATTGGTTACCAGACGAGCCCTAGTTTCGAACTATGATTTCTTATGGAATGATGATTGTATTGGCACTGAAAAAGTTGATCTGGAAACTCTCTCCACCTTTTAATTTCAAATGCAAGCCATGACCGGCTGGAGGGGGAAAGGGATATGAGGGATTTCCTTTTCAAATTTTAAGTTCTTACCCCAATTGTATGATAAAGATTGATACTTGGGGCCTTTGAGTTGCAACTTTTTTGGTGCAAGCCAACCCTTTATGTGAATCAGCAAAACATTTGTTTCCTTTCTTTTCTAATATCTTTGGTGTGTGAGTGAGCCTGTGAGGCCACGAGTTTTGCTTGACCCGTAAAACAGTACAATAATTGAGCCTTTGGACAAATATCTGACTCAACTCCCCTGTATTATTTTCCAGACAGCTTCCATTCTTTCTGGCAAATGTTTGGACTTGTTGCTACCTACAATATCAATATGTGGTGCATGAAGCTAAAGTCTAAACTGCTGGGAGGTAGATTCGAACTTGGATGTATAGGGTAGAGAACATCCGCTGTAGCTAATGTGGCTACGCCCACGTCTACAAAGTTAGATTGCATTACTATTTGAATGACTCAGACTTAACCAATTTAATTTGTTGTTTCAACCCAGGTAATCAGCGACTTCTTGCACAAGGAGTATGGAGGACCTGGGACATTGTTGGCAGAGCCTTGCACTGATATATTGGTTGCTCTGAAAGAGAAGGAACTACCAGGAGCACCTTTGGCTGCAAGAACATCTCGGCTTTGGGCTCAAATCTACCTTGATCGAGACTGGGAAATCAGGAACTCGAAATCGCAAAAATGATGTTTCTTTTGTAATCAACAATAGTGTAAATTTAATCTAGTTTTGTATTTCTCCAGATCATTTGTTTATCAAACACCCAAAAAAAAATTGGGAAAAGACCCATTGTCTACCAGGAAACTCACACTTCTAATACAATGTCAGATTCGGTGCTTGTTTTTTGCGTGTTGCTATACAGATGGATTATTGCTTTCAACATGGAATGAATTTTGTGGAGGATGTGATTGACATTGAATTAGAAAACTTGGCACCCGATTCCATGAATTTCTGGTTATCGATCCATTTCGCCCTCACTCTATTGCCTACTTTGCATTTTGTTCGCTTTCGATGTTTGGAAATCGCTGATCAGTTACGCCCTCGGAGATGCTCTGCAACGAGGGGCGCCAAGACTTCGACCTCAGCGCAGCAACAGCCGCAGCAGCAGCATTCGCTGATGATGTCCTTGGTCGGTGCCTTTCGCGTTTTGAAGCCTGAAATTATCCACATGGCTAAAGCATTAGTATTTGATATTTCCAACGGATAACAAGTTTTTCAAAACGAAAAGATTATAAGGGTTGTTCAAATCTACATACATGGTTGATATTTTCCTTCTCATCAGATTTCGTTGCTTCTGCTGCCTCTTCGCAGCCCGAACAACCTGAATTTTCCTTCCCTTGCTCCGTTCGCAACTTCTCGAGCACTTCGAGCTGCTGTTTCTTCGTTTTCGCATACTTTTTTGCCTTCAAAACCTTCATAACCTCTACAAAATCCACCAAAAAAAGCCCAAACATCAAACACAGAACCTTTCAAACCAAACAACCACCTCAAACTCCAAAACACAAACACATAAATCTCATACCTTGAGTGGTGACCAGCCGGTAGGCATGGCCGAGAGCGAGAGTTTCGTTCGGCCGGAGAAGCTTAATGCGAGTGAAACGCACCGCTTTGCCGTGCTCATCCTCATGATTCTCTGCTACATGTTTGTGATTTTGTTCGGAAACCGGCAATGGAATGATGAGGGAAACGTAGTGACCGGGGTTCAACCTCATCACCTCACTCGCACTTATAGGCCAATACATCCTCTCTATCTTCCCACTCGGATGCTGTATCACCAGAGCTGCTGCATCAATGGCTTGACAGTTCCCCATCTCTCTCTAAAACCTCTCTCTCTCTCTAGATTCCAACGAAAGAAGACGACGATGACGACGACAATGAAGATAGAGAGATAAGGAGGAAGAGGAAGAAGAAGAAGGAAGTCACTTTCTATACAGCTCTCCTCCCATATGCTCACACCCCACAAACCCCAAAAGATATTAGCAAAAATAGGTTAAGCCTAAAAAAGGTTTAAAATTTTTTCTTAGAAGGCCGTCCGCCCATCTCTCTCTCAGTTCCCCAACTAACTCATGCTACGTGATTTATATTAAACCTAATTAACATTAATTAAGCAACGAGTAAGAGAGCACCGGCTTGGTGATTACGAAGCGGGTCTAGTGCCACGTGGAGAGATACTAGATGGTAGTGGTTTGGAAGGACATGCTCGGCGGTATCGACGGAGTCAAGGTTTAGGGACTTGGGAAAAACCGAAGCTACTAATTTGTGTAAGAAAAAAAATTATATGACCAAAGCGGCAGAGGCAGTGCGTGCGTGTGCTAAGATTCTTTTGCTTTAAGTATGGACAATCGACAACGACACCCCATCACACACTATTTTGCCGAGGTTCTAACTATGTGTTTGGTTACCGAGAAAATGGGAGAAAAGACGGATTCCGGAATGTGAAAAATGCAGTGCGATTGGAACTCTTTATACACGTTGCGTCCACTGATAACCATGCATGATTTATTTTCTATAAAAAAAATTTGAATTATGTATGAGTAGTACTCATTGAACATGGCGGCTGCTATGCGTATAAAGCAACGCACTAATGTGTGTGTGTGTGGAAATATTTAAGCACTGTGTATACACAACTTTTCGTACAAGCTTCAGTGTCCAATGCAATTTTGAGTAGGACTGGATAAAAGTGATATCTCTAAATATTTAATTAGAGATTTCAGTGTTTCTAATCGTAACCTTGATCTATTTATCAAACCATCTACTTGCCCATCTCTAATTTTTTGTTATTTCTAAATTTATATTTTCACAAGTAGAATTATGAAAAAAAATTAGGGTGATTACTTTCATGTCACATTGCATGGTGATTAATACTTAAAATAAAAAATTAGATAAAATGACCTCATTTAGTAGAATGATTAGACAATTTCACAAAGAAACGAATCTCACTATATTATGTAACAATTGACACCATATAAGTACAACTTTCAATGAACACTTCATATATTGACTATTCGGACTACCCTACTAGATAACCCATAACTTGAATCATAACTTTTCGTTTATAATTCCGAATATGCAACACATTTCCTGTTTTGACTTTGTAATATTTGTCACTTAACTTGCCGAAATAGTTTTCACTCCAAACCACCAATATTCTAAGAAGGCAATGTTAGAGACATTATTTTTTAAATCACATTTTGTAAACCATATGATGCGATTACTGACAGTTGATTTTCTTTTTTAAGTTTTATTTTATTGCTACGTTATGTGATTTAAAAATATAATCTCTCTAGTAGTTTCTTTCTAAGAAAATTAAAAAAAAAAATAGTCGCCCATGGTGATTAGTAATTGAGTAATGGTTTAGGGTTTCAATATTCCAAAGAATGAGAACTTAGGTCGCGGACATGCATATACAACAAAAACAATCGTTTCAACCCACTTATAAAATTATAATTCGTTATATTTAAGGGCTAATTGAGATGATCACTTAGTACTATGGTATAGTGGTATTCATATTTACTTGTAAACGAAAGGTCTGAGGTCTGATTATCGTTAAAGGCAAATTTGAATCACATTATTGCTAACCTATTGTGAAACTAAATTCACTTCTCCTTTTTAGTACAGATAATATCATTTATTACAAAAAAAAAAAATGACTAATTAAGATAAAACAATCACAAATTACCCACAAATAAAGAAGATCACTGAAGTCGACTGCCATAATCAAATCATGTTTAAAAGTTTGGGAGCAAATCCTGACAGATGACATATCAAATTTACAATTGTTGTCACATAGTCGATTTGGAACCCTAAATCATGTTACACAAGCAGAACATATAATTCGAGCAAATGAAGAAGGAAAATTGTACAATTTTCTGGTCTATGTTTAAAAAAATATCTATCCTTGGATAAAGAGCAAAAATCCTGACCACTTAAGAGAGAAGATGGCAATCTTTCTGACAGTCTTTGACTATCAATGTACATCTGATTTAAGTAAGCTATAAACATATGAGGTTAATTAAAAACCTTATATATAAAGGAAAATTAATGGAAATAATTTAAAATTTTGAGTTTTAACAATATAGACAAAATAAAGAGTAAAATAAATAGTACCAAAATTAATTTTTTAATGTAAAAATATGATTTTTTGTTAAAATAAATCATACATGGAACTTTTCGTTAAAATTCTCTATATAATATAATCACATATTGTTCATATGTAAACATCCCTTGGTTAATGTCACGTCTGTGTGTGTAAGCCATGTGAGCTGTTTGGGAGAATTTTTTTGGCTCACATATTTAATGAAAAAATGGACTATTTCTTGTTCAATGGTGACTTAAGTAGGACACCCAATAATTTTACATACAAAACGGCCTTAACTACTTATGGATTTGGGTGTGACAGTCATTAATTAATAAAAAATGTTTTTATAAATTATAAATCCCTTTGCTTTTTATATTGGTTCTTGAAATTGGTCAAATTCTTCATTTTAGTATTTAACTTGAAAATCAATTAATATCGTTTCTGAAATGATGTTACAAATTAATGTATTTATTATGTTAGAATTTTGTTAAAACTTTGTTTATGTGCCTACGTGGCACACATTTGGGATCTACTACTACAACAATACGGTGCCATGTGGAAAATACAAAAATTAAATTCTTTTAAAATTTTAAAATCCATTAAAAATAAAATAATATTCCACAAAAATAAAATAATAAGATAAACTAAGAGTAACAAAGAAAAGGATCTCATCCTCCTTGATTTGCAACGTCAAGGATTAAATCAATTAAAATAAATAATAAGATCAACCAAATCGGCACACTAATAGAATGTTTGACCAAGTTACAACAGAGAACCATATTGATATGCAGTGTTAAGTCCTAAGGATGAGATTGATTGATTTTTAAATTTAGAGACCAAAATAAAAAATTTGGTTAATTTGAAGAACTATTTGTGATAAAAAAAATTTATAAAGTATATATCCCTTCACTTTTTATAATATTTGGACAGCTTAAAATAGAAGAACCGGATGACTTTCAAAAATTTCAATAATAATAAAATAATAATACAGATGTTCATAGGTTGCAGCTTGTGGGGGCGGCAAGGAAAGATTAGGTCTTGAATGTCTGTTCCTCCTTGGCCTCTAAACATTCTTGAAATCAAGAACTTAACATGCATTTTAGTATTATTTTTCTGTACTTGTAAGTGAAGAGTTTGAAACTTAACTCATCTTGATGACGAATTTGATACTAATTGATTAAAATTGACCAATTATACAGTTTAACTCAATCCCTTACCGCTCAGTGTAAATACATATACATATACAGAGATATATATATATATATATATTGTATAAAAAACATTCTTGATATCTGATTAAAGTTTAAACCCTTGACACCAACCAGTGGACTTTGAAAGGGTCTTGTTTAATTAGTGTAGGGTTTGTTCTTCTTGTTCTTTTCTTCTTGTTATGGACAAATGGGTTTCAATGCGTTTCTTATTGAGTAATAAACATTTCTTGCAATTATTCAACTGAATTTCTTTGCTCAGGAGAAGGCCATGTAATTCATCAATTGTAGTTGATCCGATGCGAAATTGAACAGCATCGACAAAAGAATCATACTCTAATGGCAGTCCAAGAAGTGTTACAGAGATAAGCTCGGAATCAGCGACTGGAGCTCCAACACTCGCAAGAGCATCTGCGATTTCCTCGATTTGTTGAAGAAATTGAGCAGCGGTGGATTCGCCTTTGGTAATTGTACGCAAACGAGATCTGAGATCATGAATGTGAGATTGAGAAGCAGCAGCCAATCGTGATTCCAATTTCGCCCAAAGTTCGCGAGAGGAATTAACTCCAACAGTATACGGAATTAAGGTTTCAGACAATGTAGAATTGAGCCAGATGAGGATGTTTTGATCGTTTTCATACCACGCAACATACTCAGGATTGATGAGAGAAGTGCGATTGCCAGAATCATCCAATAGCATTTGAGGTGGGGAGGTGTTGAGCCGTCAACAATGCCAGTGAGGTTGTAGCAACGAAAGATCGGAGCGAACAGAGCACTCCAGGTGAGATAATTCGCAGTGGTGAGCTTGATCGGCACCATGGATCCAATATTCTAAATTGTGATGGAGGAAGTTATCGGAGGAATAGCAGTGACAAAGGAAGTCGTCGGAGGAGATTGACGTTCATGAGCAGTAGATGCAGAAGGAGAAGAGACAGGAGCCGCCATTGATGCGCGAGGCTAGGGTTTCAGAAATCAAGATCGGGAAGAAGGAAGAAGAAAAGTCGCAGGCAAAGAAGCGTGTTTGGATCAGGTCGTGAGACAGAGGGCGGTTGATACCATATTGAGTAATAAACTTTTCATTACTTTGGAATAAGATTACACCCTGTATATATACAAGTATTGCAACCAATGAGAGTAGATATTTAACAAACAAAACAAACTATCCAATATCTAACAAACTACCCAATATCTAAGTAGGATCTTTTATATCTACATCTACATTTGTACCCTCAATATTTCTTTCTCCACATTCTTGCCCCTCCATAATACTAAACACAAACCATTCATTTTAACAAATTTTTTAAGTTTATTTTCTCTAAACAATGGATCGAATCGGAGTGTCGAAGATTCCGATGACATTAGGGGAACAAAAAAAACAAAATTAAGGAAAGAAGAGGAAGGATACTGTAACTGGCGTCACTTGCTTTAGTTTTTGTTCATGCATCAGGATCACAAATCTTACTGAGGAACTATACTTAACTGTATTTTAATTAGGAGATGTTTGTTAGATATAAATATGAGGATGGATTTGTGGCACCACTTTTTTTGCATAAATTTTTTTATAAATGTTTTTGTAAGGCTTATTTCGTAATATATTTCAACAATCTAAACCGTCAATCTTTTAAGTCTACCCTCAAAAATCATGTCTACCAAAAATCACAAAATCTGAAACTATATGATCGTTGGATAAGAGTTTATGGATTTTTT